CCCCAAAACCCCAAAACCCCAAAACCCCAAAACCCCAAAACCCCAGCTTGCTCAAAAATAATTGAAGCCTCTGATTCGCTAATTCTAATGAATAAAATTCATGAAGTAAATTATTTAATAATTTATTTTTTAAATCACCTGAAAATGGAAGATAGCAGTCAAAGAGAGAGTCAGTGTGGGTGACATTCCTTAGAGATGCTTCCCTGTGAGCTCCAAGAAATGGTACTGTCCTACCTGCCTCATCCTGATGTGTTTAATGTCATCCAGTGTAGTCACAACATGTACGACATTGGAAGAGACCTCTACAGAAATAAATTCTTTGACAAAGAATATCATGTAATGAAGCTTAAGAAGAAGCAAGGAATCAGACAGCTTAAAGAAGAATATATTAGAAACAGATTCAATTTTATTAAGGAGTATGGGGACGTACGCACAAGAGTTGTTAAGACTGTAAAGGCTAGCATCAAGCTAGATCCCATTGAAGGGAAAAAATGATTAGAAGAAGCAAAAGCAATACAAATAGATTCACTTCATAGAAAAGGAGCATTTTCAACTCATTGTGGAGGATTTGCTAATGCTGTTCAATGCTTCGATGGAACAGCTTACCTGACTAAAGAACATGCACTTGATTTTGGGTTCCATGAAGTGATGAACGAATCTATTAATTATATCCCAGAAGGGACTTGTGTTATCCAGATCGATTGTGGATCTACAGATATTGTGTATATCTCCCCTGAAGATAAGAAAGAGAGCTATGGATATGCATACACTATAAAGAGGACGGAAGAGAATGAACTGAGTGCCCCAATTCTTATAGATATTCCTGAAAAGGTTAAGTGGGTCTGCGCATCAGTATCCCATCAGTTTGCAGCAACCATCGATGACAGAGTCTATTGCTGGCTTCCTCATGCTGATTGCAAGCCATTTGAAATCAAAGGGCTTTTTAATGACGACAACGAGTATGATGAAGATGGAGTAGTTATTAAGGAAGATACCAAAACCTCAGAGAAAGAGGATGAAGAACTTTCGATTCAACAGCAACTTGCTAAATCGACTCATGAAGAGAAAAAGAGGCAGCTACAAGAACAAGAAAAGCTTGATAGGAAGGAAAAGATTGTTCACAAAATAGTGTGAGGAAATCACTTCCTCCTTGTTTTGTACAAATCAGGAGAACTGTTCAATGTTAGTATTAATGAAAACAGTGACTCCCATCTCATTGCAAGAAGAGTACAGGAACTTGAAGGCAAAAATATCATGGATATTGAAGCCAGCTTCACCCATTGGATTGCTTTTGAGAAGACTGAAATTAAGCCAATTACAGAGTGGGATAATATGCAAACATCTGAATGGTTTAAAAGAATTGGGTTCGATCAATGTGGAAACCTTGCAAAATACCACAACATTGAAGGAAAAACTGTTTATAATGCAGATGAGGATTATATGGAGGATGTTCTTGGTATTTTAGATCCTGTTGATCAGCAAAAATTAAGATATGAGATCAACCAAGTAAGAGAAACAAAATATAAGGATATCAATCTCTATGGATATGGAGCTAATTACTATGGACAACTAGGACTATTTGATAAGCATGCTTCAATTCCTAAGAAAATCCCGCTGCCACCTCTATCATACAAGGATGATTATATTCTGAGATTCGCATGCGGTAGGAGGAACACTGCAATTCTTACTAAAAAGGGAGAACTTTGGATATGTGGCCACTGCAGACACGATTTAAAGAAAAAGGTGAACAAGGAAAAGGTGAACAAGGAAATGGACAAAGATGATAACTCCTCGAGTGATGAAGAAAAGAAGACTGTCAAAAAGACAAAGAAAGAGATTCTCAAAGCAGCAGGTAAAGGAAAGAAAGCAGGTAAGAAAATGCATGGCCACAAGAATGTAAAATTTGGAAGTGAGCAATTTGAAGACTATCTGGAAGAACTTGAAGAAGACAATAGTAGAAAGAAGAACTTTAGGAAGACAAGACACAGTAAGCATAAACACAATAGGAAGACCCAATATATGAGAGAGGAAAAGAAGAAAGTTTATGATAAAGAGATGAGCTTAGATCATAGATTTGTCAACTTCACTGATGTATTTACTAAAAATGAGAAGAATATCCCCTATAAAATCTGTAATGTAAGCCTCGGAATTATGGACTTCGCAGTCGTGATGGCATACAGAAATGAAAAAATTGAAAAAGTAGCTACAAAAGGGGACAAACTAAAAGAAAAGAAGAAACTCTGCACTATTGACAAGATTCTGACACAGTTGCAAAAGACTAGAAAATTTGACATTGATGATTTCACTATCAACTACATTGACAGATTTAGCGGGATTGTTGAGGTGCAACTCAGAAAGTTCCTTAAATCATCTGACATTCCTCTGCATAGGATTCAAACTTTGAAGAAAGATATGGAGGTCTACTGGGATAAGAAAGATAGAATCGACCTCTTCCAATTCAACTAATGTTATTATTTAACTTATATTCCAATTTTATTTTTTTCTAAAGGGGTTTTGGGGTTTTGGGGTTTTGGGGTTTTGGGG